ATTTAAAAGATGGGGGTTTTTAAGAGAAGTAAATGCGAGGGTCTTGGCAAGAGGCGTGGAGTTAAAAAAATAAAGAATCACACACCAAGTGGGAGTTGTTTACAGCTGCTCTTTGCTGATGACACTGTGCTCTTGGGAGATTCTGAAGAGAAGTTGCAGAGATTGGTGGATGAATTTGGTAGGGGGTGCAAAAGAGGAAAATTAAAGGTGAATACAGGAAAGAGTAAGGTTTGGGGATAACAAAAAGATTAGGTGATGAAAGATTGAATATCAGATTGGAGGAGAGAGTATGGAGGAGTGAACGTATTCAGATATTTTTGGGGGTGGACGTGTCAGCAGATGGGTCTATGAAAGATGAGGTGAATCATAGAATTGATGAGGGAAAAAGAGTGAGTGGTGCACTTAGGAGTCTGTGGAGACAAAGAACTTTGTCCTTGGAGGCAAAGAGGGGAATGTAAAGAGAGTATAGTTTTACCAACGCTCTTATATGGGTGTGAAGCATGGGTGATGAATGTTGCAGCGAGGAGAAGGCTGGAGGCAGTGGAGATGTCATGTCTGAGGGCAGTGTTGTGATGTGAATATAATGCAGAGAATTCGTAGTTGGAAGTTAGGAGGAGGTGCGGGATTACCAAAACTGTTGTCCACAGGGCTGAGGAAGGGTTGTTGAGGTGGTTCGGACATGTAGAGAGAATGGAGCGAAACAGAATGACTTCAAGAGTGTATCAGTCTGTAGTGGAAGGAAGGCGGGGTAGGGGTCTGCCTAGGAAAGGTTGGAGGGAGGGGGTAAAGGAGGTTTTGTGTGCGAGGGGCTTGGACTTCCAGCAGGCATGCGTGAGCGTGTTTGATAGGAGTGAATGGAGACAAATGGTTTTTAATACTTGACATGCTGTTGGAGTGTGAGCAAAGTAACATTTATGAAGGGATTCAGGGAAACCGGCAGGCCGGACTTGAGTCCTGGAGATGGGAAGTACAGTGCCTGCACTCTGAAGTAGGGGTGTTAACATTGCAGTTTAAAAACTGTAGTGTAAAGCACCCTTCTGGCAAGACAGTGATGGAGTGAATGATGGTGAAAGCTTTTCTTTTTCGGGCCACCCTGCCTTGGTGGGAATCGGCCAGTGTGATAATAAAAAATAATAATAAAAATATGGAAGAGGTGAAGGTATCTAGGGATTGACAGAGCATGCATAGTTCCTTTGTATAAAGGTAAAGGGGACAAAAGAGAGTGTAAAAATTATAGGGGAATAAGTTTATGCTGTAAAGAGTTTTTATGAGGACAGTGAGGCTCAGGTGTAGGAGAGAGGGAAATTACTTCCCAGTAAAAGTAGGTCTTAGACAGGGATGTGTAATGTCACCATGGTTGTTTAATATATTTATAAATGGGGTTGTAAAAGAAGTAATTGCTATAGTGTTGGGGAGAGGGGTGGGATTAAATTATGGGGACTCAAATACAAAATGGGAGTTGACACAGTTACTTTTTGCTGATGATACTGTGCTTTTGGGAGATTCTAAAGAAAACTTGCAAAGGTTATTGGATGAGTTTCGGAGGGTGTGTAAAGGTAGAAAGTTTAAAGTGAGCATAGATAAGAGTAAGATGATAAGGGTATTAAACAATTTAGATAAAGAAAAATTGGATATCACATTGGAGAGAGGGAGTATGGAAGAAGTGAATGTTTTCAGATATTTGGGAGTTGACTTGTCAGTGGATGGGTTTATGAAAGGTGAGGTTAACCATAGAATTGATGAAGGAAAAAAGGTGAGTGATGCGTTGAGGTATATGTGGAGACAAGAAAAACGTTATCCATGGAGGCAAAGAAGGGAATGTACAAAAGTATATGGTACCAGCACTCTTATATGGGTGTGAAGCTTGGGTTGTGTATGTAGCAGCGAGGAGGTGGCTGCAGGCAGTGGAGATATCGTGTCTAAGAGTAATGTGCGGTGTACATATTATGCAGAGAATTCAGAGTGTGGAAATTGGGAGGGCTGGAGTTTTGAGACTCTATGACCGCGGGTTCAATCCCGGCCGGGGGTATGGTTTATTAGTCAGAGGGCTGAAGAGGGGTTGTTGATGTGGTTTGGTCATTTAGAAAGAATGAAACAAAGTAAAATGACTTGGAGTGTATAAATCAGTAGTAGCAGGAAGGCGGGGTAAGGGTCATCCTCGAAAAGGTTGGAGGGAGGGGGTAAAGAAGGTTTTGTGGGTGAGGGGCTTTGACTTCCAGCAAGCATGCATGAGCGTGTTAGATAGTAGTGAATTGAGACGAATGGTTTTTGGGACCTGACGAGCTGTTGGAGTGTGAGCAGGGTAATATTTTGTAAAGGGATTCAGGGAAACCGGTTAGCCGGACATGAGTCCTGGAAATGGGAAGTACAATGCCTGCACTTTAACCGTTTCAGGGTTTTTGACGTACTAGTACATCTTACGCGCCAGGGTTATTGACGTAATAGTACTCATAAATTCTAGCATCCTCAAATCAAGCAGGAAAAGGCTGGTAGGCTTAGATGTAAGAGTGTGGGTCTTTGTGGTGAGTATGCGCAGTACAAAAAAAATTGGGGACCCAGTGGTGCATTGTGGGAAAGCCATTTTATTTCACCTTGTTCACCATGTCTAGCACTAAGAAACTCCTCACTCCTCGGGTAATTGGGGCTCTTTTGTTCCCAAGTGACAGTTCAAACACAGATGGAAGTGTCAGTCAAGATGAATTTCAGGGTTTTGAGGAGTTTGTGACTGAAAGCGATGCCCAGGAAACCAGAAGGAAGGAAGGAAGGAAAAAGGGAGGGAGGAAGGTAGGAAGAAAGGGAGGAAGGAAGGAAGATATGAGGGGAAGGAAGGAAGAAAGGAAGAGATGAGAGAAAGGAAGGAAGGAAACCATCAACCTAGGAAAACCCAAAAAATTCAGAGTGACTTATTTCCATGTGGGTTGGGTGATGACAGGCAGTGAGGGTGGTGAGTGATGGTGTGATTTGTCATTGTGACACTAAGTATGCCAGTGACTCAGCATATTTACAAGTCCACCCCCACACAACAACTACGAGCTTTACAGATGCTGTAGCAGCTCTGGGAAGTGTCCAGTGACTTTATGTGTATTTATATGATAGCAAAATAGTAATAAACAACATTTTTTATTGTTGGTTTGTGTAAACATGTTTTGTAAACAATATAATGACTGTGCAATTATTATGTAGCATACAACAAGTGAATATACATTCAGTATACCTTATATTGGTCTCACAGGCCATAAAAGTTACTTGAAGGAAGAAAGAAGGAGGGAAGGTAGGTAGGAAGAAGGTAAGGTAGGTATGAAGAGATGAGAGGAAGGAGAGAAGGTAGGTAGGAAGAAAGGAAGGAGGGAAGGTAGGTAGGAAGGAAGGAAGGAAAGAAGGAAGGTAGGTGTATGGGGAGAAAGGGATGTGTTGTGGAAGGCAGTGAGGTTAGTGAGTGGTGGTATAATGCATCATTGTGACACAAGACACACTGGTGACTCAGCATATTTACAAGTCAACTCACACACAACTACAAGCTTTCAGAACCTCTTGTAGTTACAGGAACCTGTCCAGTGACTCTGTGTATATATATGATAGAAAAATAGTAATAAACAACATTTTTTATTGTTGGTTTGTGTAAACATGTTTTGTAAACAATATAATGTCAGCAGAGTTTGTGCTGTTATTGTGTAGTATACAATGAGTGAATACATATATACCAAATAGTCTTTATATTGGTCTCAGATGCCATAAAAGTTACTTGAAAAAATAAAATATTAAAAAATAAAAAAAATAAATAAAAATAAACTATTACCGTGTGACCGGCAGTCGGCAATGTTGCCATAACTGGTTCAATTTCTTTCAACTTCACGCCTCCATATTTCTGTAAGTATTGTTCGCAAAAAAAAAAATGTTTAGCCTATAATACTCGCATTTTTTTTTTTTTTTTTTTTTTTTCTTCAACTCTGAGAACAAGTTTTGGAGAGGGCCTGTGAAAGTGAGCTTAGATAAGAGTAAGGTGATGAAGGTATCAAATGATTTAGATAAAAAAAATGGATATCACATTGGAGGGAGGAGTATGAAAGACATGAATGTGTTCAGATATTTGGGAGTTGACTTGTCAGCAGATGGGTTTATGAAGGATGAGGTTAACCATAGAATTAATGAAGGAAAAAAATGAGTGGTGCATTGACATATCTGTAGAGACAAAAAGCATTATCCATGGAGGCAAAGAAGGGAATGTACAAAAGTATAGTGGTACCAACACTCTTATATGGGCGTGAAGCTTGGGTTGTAAATGCTGCAACAAGGAGGAGGCTGGAGGCAGTGGAAATGTTGTGTCTAAGGGCAATGTGTGGCATGAATTTTATGCAGAGAATTTGTAGTGTGAAAATTGGGAGAAGGTGTGGAGTTTCTAAAATTATTAGTCAGAGGGCTGAAGAGGGGTTGTTGAGGTGGTTTGGGCATTTAGAGAGGATGGAACACAGTAGAATGGCTTGGAGAGCATATGAATCTGCAGGGAAGGGAAGGTTGGAAGGATGGGGTAAAAGAGGTTGTGTGGGTGGGTGAGGGGTTTGGACTTCCAGCAAGCATGCATGAGCATGTTAAATCGGAGTGAATACGTAGTGTTAAATGGTTTTTGGGACCTGACAAGCTGTTGGAGTGTGAGAAGGGTAATATTTTGTGAAGTGATTCTGGGAAACCGGTTAACCGGACTTGAGTCCTGGAGGTGGGAAGTACACAATGCCTGCACTTTAAAGGAGGGGTTTGGGATATTGGCTGTTTGGAGTGACATCTAAACTGTCGTATCTGAGCGCCTCTGCAAAGACAGTAATTATATATGAATGATGGTGAAAGTGGTGAATGATGATGAAAGTTTTTTTTTCTTGGGTTTTTCTTTTTGGATCACCCTGCCTCGGTGGGAAACAGCTAATGTGTTAAAAAAAAAAATTAAAGAATTATTGTCAAATCTAGGATAAAAAATTATATTCATCTATATAAGTTGTCTTCCTCTGCAGGTGCCTTGTGATATGTCCATGGGGAGAAGATGGAGCAAGTGCAAGCAGCAGTGATGGGCAACTAGTGCACAGTTCTGCTTTTCCTCCATCACAAGTGGTAGACACCTTAGGAGCTGGTGATACTTTCATTGCTGCTACTATATTTTCACTAGCAAGTGGATGCACATTAAAAGATAGCATTACTTTTGGGTGCCGAATTGCAGGGTTGAAAGTAGGTGTTATAGGATGGGAACCACTAAGAAAAATGGCAAAGGATGGAGCTTTCTCTCTTATATCAGAAAATTCCAGTGAAAAGAAAGCTGTTGTTATCAGAGCCACCTGATATATAGAGAATATTGCTGTGGGTGGAATTGAGGGTCAGGTTGAAGGTGTTGTGTGTGCTGCATGGGTGTATTTATTAGTTCTTCTTGTTATATGGCAATTAATTTTCACAGATAATGAAGAGAATGAGTTGCTCTGATGAATGTTGCAACAGTAGTTGACTAATATGATCATTGGTGTTTCTTTGTTAAGTCATTTTGAAATTGTCTGCAGTGCACATCATTATGCTTTTGTTACTTGCTTTAATTTAAAAATTTTCTAATATTTTGATCAGTTACATTATTTTATATCTCATCACTTTTTTTTTATTCAGGGTATCTGAAACCTTGAATGTAATCAAAAATTTATTTCCCAGTAATAGACTAGAAGCTTGTAATCTAAGCCTGAAAAAATTTTCTTAACACACTGGCTGTCTCCCACCAAGGCATAGTGACCCAAAAAAAAAAAGAAACATTTTCATGAAGTTTTTTATTTTACATTTAGTAATTTTTACAGGATAAGGGGTTACTAGCCCCTTGCCCCCAGCATTTTAGTCGCTTTTTATGACACGCATGGCTCACAGGGGAAGGATTCTTCTCTACTTTCCCATGCAGAAGGCCAGTATTATATTTAAAGTTAAAAAATCTAAATTCATTGGTGAAGTTATCCAGATACTACAAATTATATGCTGACATAGATTAGGAACCCACACTCTAGTCTGAACTCAAAGGTCAAAGGGTATTTGTATGTTGTGTAGTAGTATCTTGCATTCACAAAACATTGGAAACACTTTTCTCAGTCACCACAAAGTTGGATACAACTAATAGAGTGTAACAACCCACAAGAGAGCCTATGGCTTTTTGCTCATAAAAGTGCCAAAGAATAAAGGGCAATGTCAGATAGCCAGTTTATCCCATGTGAAACTTTGTTAACCAGTGATCATTAAATTTAATACGTATACGTAGTATAGCTTGGCATCCGAAAACCATACTTGTGTATAATACTTTGATAAAAGATCGTAGGCGTTGGTGATCTGTCACATGTGCACCCTGACGCTGTGGTTATTGCTTTAGCTGTGTGGAAGCCTCCACTAATCATGCTTTTCTTCTAGGATTCATGGTTTAACTTTCTCCTCTTGTGCTCCTTTTCAGAGACAATAAGGTGAAAGATTTATCATACTTTGGCTTGTGGCCACTGCATTTATAAGTTTATTCCATATTTTTTCTTGAGCTATGGCATGAAAAAATAATAATACAGGAGGGTCCCACTTTACAGTGTTTTGCTAATACAGTGGGTTCCAATTATGCCCATTCTTCATTTGCTCAGACTTCTTACAAAATATATATTCACCACTCACTTTAAGCTAAGGATAAAAATATTTTGAAGTAAGTAATGTGTGTAGTGTATATGTATTTTTTAGGCCTAGCCCTATTGCTCACTTAATTTTTTTTTTCAACATGCTGGCCATCTCCCACTGAGGCAGGGTGACCCAGAAAAGAAAAAAACACTTTCACTATCATTCACACAAAAGTACTGTCTTTGCAGAGGTGCACAGATACAACAGTGCCAATGTCACTCCAAACAGCAAATATCCCAAACCCCAGGACTCAAGTCTGGTTAGCTGGTTTCCCTGAATCTCTTCACAAAATATAACCCTGCTCACACTCCAACAGCTCATCAAGTCCCGAAAACCATTCGTCTCCACTCACTCCTATCTAACACTCTCACATATGCCTGCTGTATGTTCAAGCCCCTTGCACACAAAACTTCTCTTACCCTCTCCCTCCATCCTTTCCTACCCTCTTTCTTCCCTCCACTACAGATATATATATATACACCCTCCAAGTCATCCTGTTTTGCTTCATCCTCTCTAAACAACCAAACCGCCTCAACAACCCCTCCTCAGCCCTCCTGATTTCCATACTACGAATTCTTTGCATAATATTCATGCTACACATTGCCCTTAAACACAGCATCCCCATTGCCTCCAGCTTCCTTTTTGATGCAACATTCACAGCCCATGCTTCACACCCATATAAGAGTGTTGGTACCACTATACTCTCATACATTCCTTTCTTTGCCTCCATGGATAATGTTCTTTGTCTCCACAGATACCTCAGTGCACCACCCACCGTTTTTCCTTCATCAGTTCTGTGGTTTACCTAGTCCTTCATAAACCCATCCACCGACAAGCCTACTCCCAAATATCTGAACACATCCACTTCTTCCATACTCTCTCCCTCCAATCTGATATCAAATTTTTCTTTATCTAGATTGTTTGATACCCTCATCACTTTACTCTTATCTATGTTCACTTTCAGCTTTCTTTAAACACCCTCCCAAACTCACCCACTAACTTTTGCAATATCTCTTCAGAATCTCCCAAAAGAACGGTATTATCAGCAGAAAGTAACTGTCAACTCCCATTTTGTATTTGAATCTACATAATTTAATCCCACCCCTCTCACCAACACCCTAGCATTTACTTCCTTTACATCTCCATCTGTAAATATATTATACATCCTCTTCTTTTATATACACTTGAAAGTGAAAAAAGGCTGTGTTTCACATTACAACAATTTTCGCTTTACAGCAGTAGCCCAGAACCTAACCTACCCTATCAGTGGGCCCTGCCTGTGTACAGTATATAATACATGTATGATGCTATAGTGTAGAAGTACATTAATAATCTAGCAACTCAAGTTGTGAATAACATATTTATGTGATATATTACAGGAATCATCCTGCAATATATGGGGTAGATGAATATGCATAATTAATGTATGTATTTCAGTTTTTATGTATGCAAAACATTTAATGTTTAACACACAAAGTTTTCACCCATCCAGTTTCATATACAGTATGTTACAGCTGTAAGGTATTGCCAAAAATTTTCTTTTGTACCGTATTACAGCATACATTCTGAAAATTTTAATTGTTATATAATTATTGCCTAGTAGTTTAGAAAAAGAATGAGATTTAAACTTTTTTGTGTATACTATATATTTGTTACGTTCAGGAGTAAAAACATGTGAATTCGATTCAAACTCATGAATTAGTAACTGAACTATAAAATGTGGAGCTTTCCAGATTACAGGTAAACGGCACAGGGAAGAGCTTTAAGTTATCAATAGAAAGAATAGTGTAATGTTATGTAAACCAGTGAAATGGGTTATAATTTGTAAGAGATTGGTATCAAAGAGGCAAAAGCTGTAAAGAAAAACTGACTGAACTTCTTATGCATCCAAAGGTGTTATCGCATGACCAGAGGAACATAGATTGAGAGCAGTCAAAATCATGAGATACATATCACCAGGTAATAAGCATGTTAACCAGCCTTTGACGGAATGAACCAAGATGAGAGGATACAGAAACTGAGCACTCAAATCAACCATATACAGGTACTCCTCACTTAACGACTGAGTTCCATTCCTAACAGTAGATTGGTAAGCAAATTGGTTGTTAAGCGAGGAGCTGCCCCTTACTGATAGTTTAAGCATACTGTACTGGTAGTGGGTTTGTGTCAACCATCTTTAGATATTGTTTTAATGTCGCCTTTGCACCATTTATAACATTTTTAGTATACGTATTAAAAATAGAAGTAGGTATTAAAAACAACAAAAAAGTAAAATGCACATACTGTATGCTGGTCAGAGAGCTGGACATAAGTCTGAGCAATAGTTAAACAAGTAGGTCATTAAGTAAGGAATACCTGTATTTTTTAACTTCACCCCTTAACTGTCTAAACATAAATCTATGTTGTTACCGCTAGCGCTCCAAACGTAGATCAATGTTTTATTTTTCCTGCCTCCACATTTGGCACGATTGGCCTGAGATGCCTCATCAGGACAGAATGGGTCTTAATACTTGTTTTTTTTTTTTCAACAAGTCGGTCGTCTCCCACCGAGGCAGGGTGACCCAAAAAAAGAAAGAAAATCCCCTAAAAGAAAATACTTTCATCATTCAACACTTTCACCATGCTCACACATTATCACTGTTTTTGCAGAGGTGCTCAGAATACAACAGTTTAGAAGCATATACGTATAAAGATACACAACATATCCCTCCAAACTGCCAATATCCCAAACCCCTCCTATAAAGTGCAGGCATTGTACTTCCCATTTCCAGGACTCAAGTCTGACTGTATGAAAATAACCGGTTTCCCTGAATCCCTTCACTAAATATTACCCTGCTCGCACTTCAACAGATCGTCAGGTCCCAAGTACCATTCGTCTCCATTCACTCCTATCTAACATGCTCACGCATGCTTACTGGAAGTCCAAGTCCCTCGCCCACAAAACCTCCTTTACCCCCTCTCTTCAACCCTTTCAAGGACGACCCCTACCCCTCCTTCCTTCCATTATAGATTTATATGCTTTCCATGTCATTCTACTTTGATCCATTCTCTCTAAATGACCAAACCACCTCAACAACCCCTCTTCTGCCCTCTGACTAATACTTTTATTAACTCCACACCTTTTCCTAATTTCCACACTCTGAATTTTCTGCATAATATTTACACCACACATTGCCCTTAGGACATCTCCACTGCCTCCAACCGTCTCCTCGCTGCTGCATTTACCACCCAAGCTTCACACCCATATAAGAGTGTTGGTACTACTATACTTTCATACATTCCCTTCTTTGCCTCCATAGATAACGTTTTTTGACTCCACATATACCTCAATGCACCACTCACCTTTTTTCCCTCATCAATTCTTTGATTAACCTCATCCTTCATAAATCCATCCGCCGACACGTCAACTCCCAAGTATCTGAAAACATTCACTTCTTCCATACTACTCCTCCCCAATTTGATATCCAATTTTTCTTTATCTAAATCATTTGATACCCTCATCACCTTACTCTTTTCTATGTTCACTTTCAACTTTCTACCTTTACACACATTCCCAAACTCATCCACTAACCTTTGCAATTTTTCTTTAGAATCTCCCATAAGCACAGTATCATCAGCAAAAAGTAACTGTGTTAATTCCCATTTTGAATTTGATTCCCCATAATTTAGTCCCACCCCTCTCCCAAACACCCTAGCATTTACTTCTTTTACAACCCCATCTATAAATATATTAAACAACCATGGTGACATTACACATCCCTGTCTAAGACCTACTTTTACCGGGAAGTATTCTCCCTCTCTTCTACACACCCTAACCTGAGCCTCACTATCCTCATAAAAACTCTTTACAGCATTTAGTAACTTACCTATTCCATATACTTGCAACATCTGCCACATTGCTCCCCTATCCACTCTATCATATGCCTTTTCTAAATCCATAAATGTAATAAAAACTTCCCTACCTTTATCTAAATACTGTTCACATATATGCTTCAATGTAAACACTTGATCTACACATCCCCTACCCACTCTGAAACCTCCTTGCTCATCCGCAATCCTACATTCTGCCTTACCTCTAATTCTTTCAATTATAACCCTACCGTACACTTTTCCTGGTATACTCAATAAACTTATTCCTTTATAATTTTTACAATCTCTTTTGTCCCCTTTCCCTTTATATAAAGGGACTATACATGCTCTCTGCCAATCCCTAGGTACCTTCCCCTCTTTCATACATTTATTAAACAAAAGTACCAACCACTCCAACACTATATCCCTTCTCCTTTTAACATTTCTGTCATGATCCCATCAGTTCCAGCTGCTTTACCCCCTTTCATTCTATGTAATGCCTCGCGTACCTCCCCCACACTTACATTCTGCTCTTCTTCACTCCTAAAAGATGGTATACCTCCTTGACCAGTGCATGAAATTACCGCCTCCCTTTCTTCCTCAACATTTAAAAGTTCCTCAAAATATTCTCACCATCTACCTAATACCTCCCTCTCCCCATCTACTAACTCCCCTACTCTGTTTTTAACTGACAAATCCATACTTTCCCTAGGCTTTCTTAACTTGTTTAACTCACTCCAAAATTTTTTCTTATTTTCATTAAAATTTCTTGACAGTGCCTCTCCCACTCTATCATCTGCTCTCCTTTTGCACTCTCTCACCACTCTCTTCACCTTTCTTTTACTCTCCATATACTCTGCTTTTCTTATAATGCTTCTGCTTTGTAAAAACCTCTCAAAAGCTAACTTTTTCTCTTTTATCACACCCTTTACTTCATCATTCCACCAATCACTCCTCTTTCCACCTGCCCCCACCCTCCTATAACCACAAACTTCTGCCCCACATTCTAATACTGTATTTTTAAAACTATTCCAACCCTCTTCAACCCCCCCACTACTCATCTTTGCACTAGCACACCTTTCTGCCAACAGTCGCTTATATCTCCCCTGAACTTCCTCCTCCTCCCTTAGTTTATACACTTTCACCTCCCTCTTAATAATATATAATAATATATAAATGTTACATCCTACCTAATAATATAACTAAGTCAAATAATAATATAAAGCAATATATTTATGATTTAGCTAATATCGCAAATATAAGCAATATAAAATTATATATACAGGTAATATACATTATATACATTGTGACCCATTCAGGGGTAGCAATAATCGACAACACTTCTGCAAGTGGCAGGAATCCATGTTGCCATCACATGAGCATCCAGTGCCAATTTTGCAATCTTATATCTCAGTAAGTACTGGCCCTAAATTTTTTTTTTATCTTATTACATGTAGAAAAATGCCCTCTGTATTTTAATATTTTTTTTTTTTTCCAAAATATTTGGAGCGCTGGGCGAGAGAACGTAGATCTATGTTTGGACAGTTAAGGGATTAATGGCTGTCTTCTGCCAAGGAAGGGTTACCCCCCCCCAAATTTTTTTTTTTTTTTTTTAACAAAGCAGCAGTCTCCCACCGAGGCAGAGTGACCCAAAAAGAAAGAAAATCCCCAAAAAGAAAATACTTTCATCTTCATTCAACACTTTCACCTCACTCATACATAATCACTGTTTTTGCAGAGGTGCTCAGAATACAACAGTTTAGAAGCATACATGTATAAAGATATACAACATATCCCTCCTTTAACCCTTTGACTGTTTCCGACGTATAAATACGTCTTACGAGCCAATGTTTCTGACGTATTTATACGCATAAATTCTAGCAGCTTCAAATCAAGCAGGAGAAAGCTGGTAGGCCCACATGTGAGAGAATGGGTCTCCATGGTCAGTGTGCACCATATAAAAAAAATCGGGGAGCCAGTGGTGCATTGTGGGAATGCCATTTCAGTTGTCCTTTTTCAGTATGTCTAGCGGTAAGAAATACATATGTGATTCTCCAGCAAATCTGGGACTCTTCTCTTCCCAAGTGATGCTCTAACACAGATGGAAGTGTCAGTGAAGATCAATTTCATGATTTGGAGGAGTTTGAGACCAAAAGCAATGGAGGAGGAGGAGGGGGAGGAAGAGGAGGACGAGGAGGAGGACGAGGAGGGGAGGAAGAGGAGGAGGAGGAGGAGGAGGAGGAGAAGAGGAGGAGGAGGAGGAAGAAGAAGAAGAAGATGTAATAATATTGTTCCCTTGAAGCAAGTAAAAAAAAGTCCACCCCATGACAGTGACAAGATAAGGGGAGATAACATCTGATAAGAGCTGACTTTGATGAGCGTAAACGAGGGTAGAGCTGATAAGGAAATATTACATGACCATTGCCCTCCCTTTGTTTTTGCTGGTACACAAACATTTCTGTCTGTCTATTTGTCTGTCAAGCTCCCTGTCTGTCCATCTAGCTCTCTGTCTCAGAGAGAGCCACAAGACTGTGTCATCACGTTTACTCACATCTTCAAGCAGAGTATAGCACTTTGTCTGGATTTCTTGGGTTATCCTAGGTAATTTACACTATGTATACTTGTATTTATGTGTACCTGTGAGACAGAGATAGGCAGACAGATAGAAAGAGAGACAGATTGAAAGATATAGAATGAGGGAGAAAGATAATTAGATAGAATGGAGGAGGGGAAGCAGCATCCGACCCCATTGTTTTGACAAGCGGGAGGGGGAAAAATAATCTTAACATTTTAATAAGAAAAAATAATTTTTTTTTTGAATATTTGGCGACATAGAATGACAGTTTCAGAGAGGGGCCTGAAACAGTCAAAGGGTTAAAGTGCAGGCATTGTACTTCCCATTTCCAGGACTCAAGTCCGGCTACATAAAAATAACCGGTTTCTCTGAATCCCTTCACTAAATATTACCCTGCTCACACTCCAACAGCTCATCAGGTCCCAAATTCCATTTGTCTCCATTCACTCCTATCTAACACACTCACACACGCTGGAAATCCAAGCCCCTTGCCCACAAAACCTCCTTTACCCCCTCCCTCCAACCTTTTCGAGGATGACCCCTACCCTGCCTTCCTTCCCCTACAGATTTATTCGCTCTCCATGTCATTCTACTTTGATCCAGTCTCTCTAAATGGCTAAACCATGTCAACAACCCCTCTTCAGCCTTCTGACTAATACTTTTATAAACTCCACACCTTCTCCTACTGTCCACACTCCAAATTTTCTGCATAATATTTACACTACACATTGCTCTTAGACAGGACATCTCCACTGCCTCCAACCATCTCCTCGCTGCAGCATTTACAACCCAAGCTTTGCACCCATATAAGAGTGTTGGTACCTGGAGTTTACCTGGAGAGAGTTCTGGGGGTAAACGCCCCCACGGCCCAGTCTGTGACCAGGCCTTATGGTGGATCAGGACCCAGGACCTGATCAACCAGGCTGTTACTGCTGGCTGCATGCAATCCAACGTACGAGCCACAGCCCGGCTGGTCAGGTACCGACTTTAGGTGCTTGTCCAGTGCCTGCTTGAAGACAGTTAGGGGTCTATTGGTAATCCCCCTTATGTATGCTGGGAGGCAGTTGAACAGTCTTGGGCCCCTGACACTTAGTGTGTTGTCTCTTAACGTGCTAATGAAACCCTTGCTTTTCATTGGGGGGATGTTGCATCGTCTGCCGAGTCTTATGCTTTCGTAATGAGTGATTTTCGTTTGCAAGTTCAGTACTAGTCCCTCTAGGATTTTCCAGGTGTATATAATCATGTATCTCTTCCACCTGCGTTCCAGGGAGTACAGGTTCAGGAACTTCAAGCGCTCCCAGTAATTGAGGTGTTTTATCTCCGTTATGCGTGCCGTGAAGGTTCTCTGTACATTTTCTAGGTCAGCAATTTCACCTGCCTTGAAAGGTGCTGTTAGTGTGCAGCAATATTCCAGCCTAGATAGAACATGCGACCTGAAGAGTGTCATCATGGGCTTGGCATCCCTAGTTTTGAAGGTTCTCATTAACCATCCTGTCACTTTTCTAGCAGATGCAATTGATACAGTGTTATGGTCCTTGAAGGTGAGATCCTCTGACATGATCACTCCCATGTCTTTGACATTAGTTTTTCGCTCTATTGTGTGGCTGGAATTTGTTTTATACTCTGATGAAGTTTTAATTTCCTCATGTTTACCATATCAGAGTAATTGAAATTTCTCATCATTGAACTTCATATTGTTTTCTGCAGCCCATTGAAAGATTTGGTTGATGTCCACCTGGAGCCTTGCAGTGTCTGCAATGGAAGACACTGTCATGCAGATTTGGGTGTCATCTGCAAAGGAAGACACAGTACTGTGGCTGACATCCTTGTCTATGTCAGATATGAGGATGAGAAACAAGATGGGAGTGAGTACTGTGCCTTGCGGAACAGAGCTTTTCACCGTAGCTGCCTCAGACTTTACTCTGTTGACTATTACTCTTTGTGTTCTGTTTGTGAGGAAATTATAGATCCATCTACGAACTACTACTATATATACTTTCATACATTCCCTTCTTTGCCTCCATAGATAACATTTTTGTCTCCACATATACCCCAATGCACCACTAACCTTTTTTCTTTCATCAATTCTGTGGTTAACCTCATCCTTCATAAATCCATCTGCTGACACATCAACTCCCAAATATCTGAAAACATTCATTTCATCCATACTCCTTTCCAATTTGATATCCAGTTTTTCTTTATCTAAATCATTTGATACCCTCATCACCTTACTCTTTTCTATGTTCACTTTCAACTTTCTACCTTTACACACACTCCCAAGCTCGTCCACTAACCTTTGCAATTTTTCTTTAGAATCTCCCATAAGCACAGTATTATCAGCAAAAAGCAACTGTGTCAATTCCCATTTTGCATTTGAGTCTCCTTAATTTAATCCCATCCCTCTCCCGAACACCCTAGCAGCTACCTTTACAACCCCATCTATAAATATATTAACCATGGTGACATTACATATCCCTGTCTAAGACCTACTTTTACCAGGAAGTAGTCTCCCTCTCTTCTACACATCCTAAACTGAGACTCACTATCCTCAAAAATTCTTTACAGCATTTAGGAACTTACTACCTATTCCATATACAGTGGACCCTCTAGTTAAGAACCACTCCCAACATGACAAATTATGTAAGTGTATTTTTGTAAGTGCTTTTGTAAGTATATTTTCGGGGGTCTGATACAGATTAATCTATTTTACATTATTCCTGATGAGAAGAAATTCGTTCAGTAACAGCACTTGACCAGCCGTCTGGAACGAAAAAAGTTTGTAACTCGAGGGGATCACTGTACTTGCAACATCTGCCACATTGCTCCCCTATCCACTCTATCATATGCCTTTTCTAAATCCATAAATGCAATGAAAACATCTCTACCTTTATCTAAATACTGTTGACATATATGCTTCAATGTAAACACTTGATCTGCACATCCCCTACCCACTCTAAAACCTCCTTGCTCATCCGCAATCCTGCATTCTGTCTTACCTCTAATTCTTTCAATAATAACCCTACCATACACTTTGGCTGGTATACTCAGTAAATTAATTCCTCTATAATTTTTACAATCTCTTTTGTCCCCCTTCCCTTTATATAAAGGAACTCTACATGCTCTCTGCCAATTCCTAGGTACCTTCCCCTCTTTCATACATTTATTAAACAAAAATATCAACCACTCATGACACTATATCCCCTCCTGCTTTTAACATTTCTGTCATGATCCTGTCAGTTCCAGCTGCTTTATTCCCTTTCATTTTATGTAATGCCTCACGCACCTCCCCCACACTCACATCCTGCTCTTCTTCACCCCTAAAAGATGGTATTCCTCCCTGGCCAATGCATGAAATTACCACCTCCCTTTCTTCATCGACATTTAAAAGTTCCTCAAAATATTCCCACCATCTACCCAATACCTCCATCTCCCCATCTACTAACTCCCCTTCTCTGTTTTTTACTGACAAATCCATTCATTCCCAAAGCTTTCTTAACTTGTTTAATTCACTCCAAATTTTTTTCTTATTTTCATCAAAATTTCTTGACAGTGCCTCTCCCACTCTACTATCTGCTCTCCTTTTGCACTCTCTTACCACTCTCTTCACCTTTCTTTTACTCTCCATATACTCTGCTCTTCTTATAACACTTCTGCTTTGTAAAAACCTCCATAAGCTACCTTTTTCTCTTTTATTACACCCTTTACTTCATCATTCCACCAATCACTCCTCTTTCCTCCTGCACCCACCCTCCTATTACCACAAACATCTTCACCACATTCTAATACTGAATTTTTAAAACTATTCCAACCCTCTTCAACCCCCCCCCCCCCCACTACTCATACTTGCACTAGCCCACCTTTCTGCCAATAGTTGCTAATATCTCACCCAAACTTCCTCCTCCATTAGTTTATACACTTTCACCTCTCTGTTACATGTTGTTGTCATTTTCCTCTTGTCCCATCTACCTCTTACTCTAACTGTAGCTACAACTAAATAATGATCCGATATACTACTTTCATTACGTGCTATATCATACCTTATATATTTATTTATCCTCTTTTTCATAAAATATGTATTACTTATTACCAAACCTCTTTCTACACATAGCTCAATTAACCCTTTGAGGGTCGACAGGTCCTCTCAGAGACTCGTTCTCAGGGTCAGCCAAATTTCAAAAAAAAAAAATTATTTTTTCTTATGAAAATGTAGAGTTGTTTTTTTTTTAATATTATAGGCTAAACAAAAATTTTTTACCATCAATACTTACCGAGATATGGAGGCGTGAAGTTGATGAAAAAGGGGGACAATGTGGCAACATCGCCGACTGCCGTCTCCCGGTATTCTTTTATTTACTTTCTTATGTACTAATTTCTATTATTTTTTAATTTTTCTTTTTCCAAGTAACTTTTATGGCCTGTGAGACCAATATGATCAGTATTTTGTAAGTTTTTTCTTTTTCAATACTACACAATAAGGCGAAAACACTGTTGTCATTGTTTTGTTTTAAAAATATTACACAAACGATATGAAATGTTGTTTATACTATTTACCTGTAATTTTATACACATATCAGTCACAGGGAATGTTTCTAGAAGTTCTGCACCGTGGAAGTCTTTGAACATGGTTCATGCACAGTGTGATTTTTAAAACTCCTCACACATAAAACGAGTGTCTCTGCATGTTGTGGGCATTTTTTTTGTATGTGCACAGATGTAACACCTCTTCTGAGCCTTTTTCTTGAAAGAGTAGCAGGCAGTTTTACCAGGAAGTGATCACCATGCTTCAGATGACAGGTAGTTGTTGATAATTTGGTGGGCGTCTATGCAGGTTTCTTCCTTGGTACATGAATACTATTTGTCTGATGACAGACAAACAAATTCGCCGTATTGTGGTTTGTTTCTGGTCCTCATCTTATACATATTATAAGCATTGAGCATGGAAATGTCCAAGAAATGGAAAAAGAGTTTTATGTACCACTTATAACTCTTGCGAACACAATCAGCAAACCCAATCTGCATGTCACATTTGTCCACTGAACGCATATTGAAGGTGTAATCAATCACAGCTGCAGGTTTTAGAATGGGTTCATTGCTCTCTCTATGCTGCCTGCCAGTGTCTGCCATTTCATTAGGGTGAACTGATGACAACAGTGTGACATCTCGTTTGTCATGCCACCGAAATGCCATGATGTCATTGGCAGCAAACGCCTGCACCTCACCTCTATGAGTGCCAGCGTCAAACCTGGGCATATGTTTCCGATTTACACATACTGTGCCACACACATCTGTCATGTTCACTCACAAAAAATCACTAAGTGAGGGGCTTGTGTACCAGTTATCAGTATATAATATATGCCCCTTACCAAGGTATGGTCCTATCATTGTTCTAACCACATCACCAGAGATGCCCAATAACTTCCTGGTATTTTGCAATGTATAACTTCCAGTGTACACAATAATATCCAATACCAGATCACTGTAACAATCACAAAGTACAAACAACTTTATACCAAAGCGTTTCCTCTTGCTTGGTATGTACTGCTTGAAAGAGAGTCTTCCTTTGAACAGAATCAAAGACTCGTCAATTACTGTACAAGCTTCTTGAAGGGATAAAAATACATATTGAATTTCTCTTTCAGATACACAAACACATGCCTAATCTTATATAACCTGTCGTTTCTGTCAGGCCTGGTTTTGTCTGAGAAGTGAAGCATACGTAACATTAGCACAAATCGATTCACTGGCATTATATCACTGAAACCTGGGGTTGCAATCAGGCGGTCTGTTGACCAGTATGATTTCACTTTGTGCTTATACACATGTGGCATAAGCATTATTGTGGCAAAGAAAAGATACATCTCAGCCACAGTTGCCTCCTTCCACTGGTGTAGACGTGATTTTGGTGAAAGTATTGTGTTTGCCATGGTGTACTCGTAGTATGTGTTGCTTTCCATAACATTACTTTCGATCAGGGGTTCGTCAAAGAATAACTCGAAACATTCCAGTTCAGTGGCATTGTTCCGAAGTGTACAAGATGGCCATATTCCACTTTGGCTGTCATCAGACTGGTGGGCATTTGGAACAAAATTGACAGCTTCGTGCCAATCCCAGGTGTGGTCTGCTGGTGGGTACTGGACAATGACAGGTGGTTGTGGTTGTGGAGGTTGTGGTTGTGGAGGCTGGTGTGGTGGGTGGGTGGGGGATGGTGGCCTTTGTTGTAGATCAGCTGAGGCAGTGTCGTGGGTGGCAGCATGGCCCACTGCTGGTGCCTCACAGCCGTCACCGCCACTACCACCACCATGCACATTTTCCATCCCAATTGCAACACTATCATCGTCATTTTCACTGTCTGTTCCTGTTGTACAGCCACGGGATGTACTCCGAGATGTACTCCTTCCCCTTGGAATAGCATATGGCACACTACCAGAGCGCATATATCGCCATATATACTGACGCTTCACTGGGGAATATTGCACTTCACTATCACTACTGGAACTGTTTTCAAGAGCTTGTAGTTAATAATCACTATCACTATCATCACAAATGCTCACATCTGAGTCTGGGATTTGGGAAAATAGGAGTTTCCTCTTTGATTCTGGTACAACTGAACGTGAACAAGATGGCCCAGCACCAGAGGTGGAAGGCTGAGGGTCGTCTGGGCTTTCCTCACTATTACCAATATTATGGTCATTAATTTCGGTCAAAACCTCACCAAAACCTTGAAACTCATCTTCACTGGCACTTCCATCTGTATTAGAACTGTCACTGGGGAACAAAAGTGTCCCAATTCGCCGAGGAGTGAGGAACTTCTTACCGCAAGGCATGGTGGACATTGTGTACTAAGATGACATTTTCACAATGTACCACTGGGTCCCAGATTTTTTTTCTACCGTGCACACCGACCACACAGACCCATTCTCTCACATCTAGGCCTACCAGCCTTTTCCCGCAAGATTTCACGGGGCTAAAATTTATGCGTACTAGTACGTCAAAAACCCCTGTGCGTAAGCCGTACTAGTATGTCCGAAACCCTCAAAGGGTTAAAGGCTCCCCATTTGCATTTACCCCTGGCACCCCAAATTTACCTACTACTCCCTCCACAATATTTTTACCCACTTTAGCATTGAAATCTCCAACCATAAGTACTCTCACACTTGGTTCAAAACTCCCCACGCATTTACTCAACATTTCCCAAAATCTCTCTTTCTCCTCTACACTTCTCTCTTCTCCAGGTGCATATATGCTTACTATAACCCACTTTTCACATCCAACCTTTATTTTACTCCACATAATCCTTGAATTAATATATTTATAGTCCCTCTTTTCCTGCCATAGTTTATCCTTCAACATTATTGCTACTGATTCTTTAGCTCTAACTCTATTTGAAACCCCTGACCTAATCCCATTTATTTCTCCCCACTGAAACTCTCCGACCCCCTTCAGCTTTGTTTCACTTAAAGCCAGGACATCCACCTTCTTCTCATTCATAACATCCACAATCATCTCTTTCTCATCATTCGCACAACATCCATGCACATTCAAACATCCCACTCTGACAGTTTTCTTCTTTTTCTTTTTAGTAGGCTATACAGGAAAAGGGGTTACTAGCCCATTGTTCCCGGCATTTTAGTTGACTTTTACAATATGCTTGGCTTATGGAGGAAAGATTCTTATTCCACTTCCCCATGGATATAAAAGGAAAAGTAATAAGACCAAGAACTATTAAGATAAAATCAAAGAAAACTCAGATGAGTGTATATATATAAACGTGTACATGTATGTGTAGTGTGACCCAAGTGTAAGTAGAAGTAGCAAGACGTACCTGCAATCTTGCGTTTGTGAGACAGACAAAAGACACCAGCAATCCTACCATCATGTAAAACAATTACAGGCTCTCGTTTTACACTCACTTGGCAGTAAGGTCGTACCTTCCTGGGTGGTTGCTGTCTACCAACCTACTACTACTACATGTTTATCATAATTCACTCATTTGTCTTCTTTCCAGAAGTGTGCTGACATCACAGCCAGATTATCCTCCAGTTGTAACATTCCCACCCCTCCTTCATAGTTCAGGCACTGCCCTTCCTATTTGTAGGTCTGGGATCCAGCTAACCAGTTTCCTCGAATCCCTTCATAAAAATCACTTGTCTCCATGCACTCCTACCTAATACACATGCTTATACGCATGTGGCATAAGCATTGTTGTGGCAAGGAACAGATACATCTCAGCCACAGTTGTCTCTTTCCACTGGTGTAGGTGTGATCTTGGTGAAACAATTGTGTATGCCATGGTGTAATCGAAGTAGGTGTTACTTTCCCTTTATCCAAAATGTTTGGGCCTGTAGGTATTTTGGATTTCAGATTTTGGAATATTTATACAGTAAGGCCCCGTTTTTCGGCATTTCGCCTTATGGCATTCCGCTAATATGACGATCTCAAATTATGACCAAAACTTTCTATATGGCAAGTGGTCTTTCAAATACGGCTTGCACCGCCTGGTTTGTTTACATTCTCCATGAGCACATCTCTCTATTATGTAATAATAATCACTATTGGGCACATTAAATGTCTAATTTTATGTCAGTATAGACATTTTCATTAATCCATCTATGATATTTTCTTCAAAATTATATAAGAAACACATTACATAGAATATAAACATGCTGTTTATATGCTATGGAGGTGTGGTTGCCGGGGAGGGAAAACATTATGTAATACTAATAATAATCACTCTTGGGCACATTATTTCTTGATAGTTGTGACAGGACCCACAGGCATAACACCAGACACAAACATCTCTATGACATTCCCCCTGTCTGACTAAACCTTTACAAAAATTCAATGTATGTCAAAGGCCCTAAAATCTGGAACACCTTACCTGAAAACTCTAGAACTGCAGACACATTCATCACCTTCAAAACTACTGTTAGAAAACATCTTATCTCCCTGATACACCCCGTCAACTAACTACATGAAAACCACCTGGTGGTTCACACTTACACTCGCTCACTCACCCATTTGACTATAAACCCAGAAATATGAATCTTAATCTTAAAATAATGAATCCTAACTAGTCATAAGTTTGCCTGTGATACTCCAATATAGAAACTATGTATTGTGCCAAAACAAAAGCATTCACATTGCTAAACCCACAAACTAGTACGTATTTAGTTACTTAACCATAATACCAACTTACTCCATAATTTGTAATAATTTAGAGTTAAGAATTAATCTAAGTCTGCCCGAAATGCCTA